TGTGCGCGTGCAAGTGCGTGTGCCTGTCCGCGGGGTTGTGCAGGTTGTGCGATGGGGCACACGGATAAGCAGCGCCCAAGAAGAGGCCCCCAACGCGCAATTGCTGTGCCGCGCGGATGTGGAACGTTCAATACATTCCTCTTCCAACACCCCCTCCCCCCTCCCCCTCCCTGCTCCTTGCGCTCTACATTCCCTGCGTACGCAAGGCTGCACCGCCCTGGTGCACACACGCACGCCGCACACACGCGCACACAGTGTTTAGTGCCGTGTGTGCCTGCCGGCATGGTGTGTGTGTGTGTGCAGAGGGCGCTTCTGGTTATTTGTAGTGCGATTATACTTGGCTGGCGGCTGGGGCTGGCGTCCTGACCTAGCTTACGCCCCTAATACGGCGCTCGGGTGCGCTCACACCCAACGGGACTTAGCGCCCCGCCACCACGCCCCGCCCCGCCACGCCACGCCACGCCGCAGTTCATTAGGGTTTGCTCTCGGTAAGGCAGCAAGAGAACTGCAACAAATTTACGAAAGAGAATCTCTGCGCTCTGGCGGCTCGCCTCGCGGCTGCGGTGCAGCGTGGAGGCGGCGGCGGTGGCCCCGCTATGGGCCGCCGCCACGCCGCCGCCGCCCCGCAGCGTGACGAGATGGCTATCCCTCCCAAATCTAAGTGGCTTTGCAGAGCAGTCCATTCTACCCTCATTTCACCCGATTTGAGAATGTTGATAACAGCAGCAGTAGTGGGTTTTATTCCTGCGTCGGTCCCAGCGTCACTGTGTAGTGTACTGTAAAGGTCGTAGTGCTCCCCAACCCCACTTCCTGCACGTTGGTTGCACTTCACCTGTATAATTGTGAATTCTTTTTGCAGATTTAACATGAAAATTTCCCATAAAATATAATGTACAGCATTGAACTTGTGACTATGACAGCTGTAAACCGTTGTAAACTATTGATGCTGCTTCCACACCCTTGGCTCTGACCTACTAGCTAGTAGGCAATCCGCAGACACGCAAGCTTGGGGCACTGCATTACCACGACCTCACGGGGTTCGAGGGGGAGGTCTTGTGTACCAACTATTACACCGAGCTGAACACTTTGGAAGTGTACAACGACGGGGAGTTGACGATTTACAATTATTCAACTTGCAGTTGCACACTTACAAAGTGTTAAGCAGTTGCATACTTGGTTTGTCAGTGTAGTGTGTAAACATACGTTATACCACCAACCTGAATTCAAACCTAGCCGAACCTAACCTAACTTAACCCGCCCCGCTTTAACCTAACTGAACCCACCGACCTACGCTGCACTGCATCTCTCGCTCTCACGACGGCGGGCACGCGAGCGGCGCCTGCAGCCCGACAATTACACCGCGCCAGGCCGCGCCCCGCCGCGCCCCGCCGCGCCCCGCCGCGCCCCGCCGCGCCCCGCCGCGCCCCGCCGCGCCCCGCCGCGCCCCTCACTACCAGACCGTGGCCCGCTGATTGGGAGCTTGGCAAAGCCGACGGGCGCCATCCATCGCTTTCACGCTCAGCCGGGCCGGCGGCGCGCTGAGAGTGCTGAGTGCGTTTTGTCGTTGCAGCGCAGCCCGGTGCAGCCCAGCCCACTCGCTCAGCGTCCAGCGCCAGGACGCCAGGACCGGGGCGGCAGCGTCAAGCACATTTTGCAGTTACGTACCTGAACATGAACCCCGCCAAGCAGGGAAGAGATTATACTGTCCCTTGAGTTTCGTTGTTTCCATCTTCAGTCAGAAAAGAAATCAAGGTGATTTCCATGTTTGATTTCGAATAAAACCTCCTGAATCAGGCAAATAACACATCCGGAAACTGTGATCTTCTTCATGGTACAAGAAACTTGGTCGTTTGTACTGCAAAAATAAATATGTTGCATCTTGGTGATATTTCCCCCACAATTTCCTAGGACGATGCCAGCCTTCTCCAACACGACATCAGGGCAGAAGCATCACACCCGAAACTTAACTCTGGACCCACACCCCTATAGAAGTTGCTCAGGACACGCTGCCGATACAGCAAGTGTACGGTACTCGGGCGTGCGGTGCCAAGTGCAGCCCCTAGTTCATTTGCGCTGGGTCGGCCCAATATCTTTCATCTCCACACCCGCCGGCGCCGCTCCCGGGCTTCCGGACGGTCACGAACTGTTTTACCCACACTTTTATGGCCCACCATCTGCCTCTTCACTTTGCACCGCACCTGTGTTGCTGTGTGTCTGTGACCGTCCCGGTAAACGACCACGTCATACTTACTTTTAGGGACGAATATAAAACCGAAATGTTATTGTGTAGTGTACCTGGTGCGGCGTTGGTGTGGCTTGGCCCCAGCGTGTCGCGGAGATGTAGCAGCGTAAGCCGCTTTGCATAATTCAATTCTTTGAAGAATATCTCTGCTGGACCATTTGTCATGACGTCGCAGCAATGTCTCTAGAGCATGGATCAACATTCCCCCGCCCAGCAGGCCCGCGCACTAAACCAATGTAAGCCACACTCACCATCACTATACCGACGGCGCTTGCTTAAAAATATTCTTACTTCAAAAGTACTCCAACGCACCGAATTCGTCGACATCCTAGTTTTTCTCCGCGGCTAGGTTGCTGTTCTTTATAAACGATGGCTCACAATCAGCTGCCCCCTCTCCCCCCAGCCCTGGCCGTCCCGCCCCCCGTGAGCTTGCGTGCCACCCGGCTCGAAGTGGGCGGGCGAAGGGGCGGCGGCCTCGAGGGGGTGTCCAGGGAGGTCCTTTATGAATCAAGGAGTACGTGTTCCTGCCGCCACCGCCTAGCCCCGCCCCGCCCCGCCTCGCCCCGCCTCC